TGTATATATTTATCTAGCAAACTCATATGATTATAGTGCAGTTTTTGCACGTTATCTTTTAAGTGGTTATGACGTAAAATCAAAATTTAATCGATATAATATTTTTTTTAAAAAAAGGTTTTTGATATAGATTTATAACATACGAAATATCAAAATTTTTTTGTCTTAGATGAAAGTCAGTTGAGTTGTAAGATACAAGTGTTAATTTATGAAAGAAGTTTAAATTTGTCCTTTTCTTACAAAATATATAAATCGCCATATTATTTTATATGTAGATGAACACTATCCTAAAAATCTTCTGACTTTACAAAGCGTAATCAAGTCACCACACCCATAACAAATATTTTTTTATGATTAATCAACTTCTTGACTTCTAACGCGGGCTTTAGCATTTATAACTCTTACGTTCAACTGTTGAGCTCTATCAATAATTGCAATACGTTTCCTTGAGCTGACATTGTGGGCAATCTCAGCTGCATAAGTTTTGTTATGCATAAGTAACAACTCTAATTCTTTAACGTTAGAAACAAGGAATTTTTTGAACCCATTTGGCATCAAATAACGAGTTTTTTTGTTCGATCCATATCCAATTTTAGGCATAGGAAGTTGTCCCTTGAATCGACGCCGAACTCGATTGTCGATACCCTTAGGTTTTCTCCATGCTTCCTTTATTACAAAAATATGATTAAAGATCTATGTGATAATTTTTAAGTTTTCGAATTTATTCAGCTGTACCTTCACAGATTTGTAACGATCAGATTGATGTCTCTTAAAAGGCTTGTTACGTTTCTTAACAATCTTGATTTTTGCAACGGGATTAACCATTTTTTTTTTATTACTAAAATTAGTACAAAGGCAGAAGATTTTTTTTTTTTAGTATGCTATCAATCTTTATTATCTCTATGATGAATGAACATTTCTTATCCATTCAAAAATAATTATTACTATTAAATTAAGAACAACTTACCTAAAAATGGTTGAATAGAAGAGATAGGATCAAAAAATAATTTTGTCGAAATTTATATGAAATCAGACCAATCAGTAGTAATTATACCCCGTGCTTAAAAAAAAAATTTAAAAGCACGTGATGAATATGAAACTGGTGAAACTGGTAATACCGGTGATACTACGTAGTGATATAATCAAAGTACCCGTAATTTGCGGCAAATAGTACCCCCTTGTTAAAGTACCCACCCACCGTCAATTTAGCGTCACTTTAGTCAAATTATATAGTCAATTGACGGTCCCAGGGAGGGTACTATTCAATTTTTAAGGCCTAGGAATGTAAGAGA